ACATGTCCCACACTTCACATGTCCACACACACCCCTTTCACTCCCTCCCTCACTCACACCCTCTCCTCACGGCGGTCCTGCCAGTCACTATCTTGCTGAGCTTGTGAAGAGTTTTAAGGCCTGTGTCTATACTCTTTTTTTTTTCTTTTCTTTTTTTGCATGTAGTTGTCCAGTTGTTCCAGGACCATTTATCTTTTCTTCATTGTATGCATTTGCTTTTTTGTCAAAGATTAGTTGATGATATCTGCACAGGTCTAAGTCTGGGCTCTCTCTTTTGTTCCACTGATCTATTTGTCTATTCTTTTCCCAATGCTACCACACTCTCTTGATTACTGTATTTTGATAGTAAATATTGAAGTCAGGTAGTGCTAATCTATGAATTTTGTTCTTTTCCTTCAATATTAAGTTAGCTCTTTTGGGTCTTTTTGCTTCTTCATGTAAACTTTAGATACGATTTATTGATGTCCTCAAAATATCTTGTGGGCATTTTGATTGGGGTTGTGTTGAATCTGAAGACCAAATCGGGGAGAACTGACTTCTTGACAATATTCAATCTTCTTATATATGAACATAATTTCATGGAACAGCTTTCCACTTATTTAGTCTTCTTTGATACCTTTTTTCAAAGTTCAGTAGTTTTTCTCAAAAGAACTGTGAGTTTTTAACTAAGGAGTTTTACTTATTCAAGATGTTCTTTTTGCCCCTGTGACCACCAATAAAACCTGTAGAAAGAAGCCTGCACTCCCCTTGTGAAAGGCTTGGGGACTACTTCAAAATGACTGGGCTTGTTGGAAGTTTTGCTGTCGGACCTGGTTTGATATAGACTTATGCCCATATCTTGATTATTTTATTATTATACAACAAATTAGATATAAATTACTAATATTATTATATATAATCCTTAGTAATTGAAAGAATAAATAACATAATTTTAGATTTTGCAGATCAAAATTCACCTTTATTTCTCAAATAAACAGCAACATTCAGTAAGATTATTTTCATTATCTTCTTTATAAAAGAGTGCATCTGATATTATTATTATTATAATGCAACCTTTTATTTATTCCCAGATCATTTCCAACTTCTTGAATTTTACTTTTGTATTTAGAAGGAAATAGTTAAATGTAAAGAACTCTAAAACTTATTTTGGATCAGAACAGTTTGAAACAAATTAATAATATTATTTTTTCTACAAAACAGTGACAGTTTCTTGATATACTCTGTGCTTGTATTGTTTAAATAATAGGCATATGGTTGTTTAGAAATAAATGCTCTTTTTCAATATTTTTTTCTGTTTTCAATAGGCATTCTTTGCTTAAAATGTTACCTGCTCTAAGAATCCTCAATGGTGAAACTCTAGACTCTTGTTCAAAAAGCCACATTGAAGAACACTGTCAATCAGAATTAGGACGTTTCCTGTTACTTTGTCAGTCCCAGATTACAGAATTCAACTTACTAATTGAAAACTATATTACTGGAAAAGGGTAAGACTGTTATCTTTACCTTAATTAAAATACATAATGCATTTTATACATATGATTAAAAATATTCTGATCAATATAATCATACTTTTTTGGATTAGAACAGTGTGTTTTAGGGATAGTCTCCCTTCTAAAAATCTGACATCATCTTTACATTGTTTGAAATATATCAATATCTATTTTGAATGTTTTTTAAAAGTTAAAATATTAGGTAAAATAAAGCATGAGGATAGTTTCAACATAAGATGTAAACATTTATTCAGTCATTCAATTAATTATAAATTTATTCAATTATTATAGACAAAACACACAATCAGAATAACGTAAGAGAAAATTAGATAAATAAATAGTTGCAATGGAGTAAGGCAAGTTTTATAATATAGATAATATTTATATATACAAGGGGTATCACACATCTATATAATAAAAGCCTAAGCAACCATTACGGTGGAACAACCAGAACAACCGGTCGCTGTGGTGCACACTGACCAGCAAAGGGCCGATGCTCAATGAAGGAGCTGCCTCTAGTGGCCAGTGTGCTCCCACAGGGGGAACACTGCTCAGCCAGAAGCCGGGCTCATGGCTGGTGAGTGCAGCGGCAGAGGCAGGAGCCTCTCCCGCCTCCGTGGCAGCATTAAGAAGCAGCAAGCCAAGTGTAAGGAGCAGTGAGCAGGCTAACGGTAAGGACCAAGGGGTCCCGGACTGCGAGAGGTTGCAGGCAAGGCTGAGGGACCCCCACCAGTGCATGAATTTCGTGCGCCGAGCCTCTAGTATTTTATATTTCTACTAGAGGCCCGGCATACGAAATTCATGCATGGGTATGGTCCCAGGGCCATCTACCACGGCTGCCTGCAGCTGGCCCCGCCCCCTGCCATTACCCACCCTCGCTTCCCCATTTGCCATCGGGCAATCAGAGCCTGATGGCTGGAGGAAGGGACTGAGAGATTGGCTGTTCCCGTCCACTTGCCGGCCCTGTCCCTGCCACATGTCGCCCTCTGTGTGGGGGGACTGGCGGGGCAGGGGCCTTGGCTTGGAGCCGCCTGCATCCCCCACCACCCACCCTGGTTCCCCATTTGCCATTGGGCAATGGGAGCCTGCTGGCTGGGGAAAGGGACCAAGAGGTGGTCAGTGCACCTCATAGTGACTGGCCGAGCAGTTGTTCTGGTCCTTCTGCCATTAGGGTCAATTTGCATATTACCCTTTTATTATATAGGATAGAGGCCCGGTGCACAGGTGGGGGCATGCCGTCCTGCCCTGATGGGTGTCCCTGATCAGGGTGGTAGTCCCTGCTGGGGAGCAGGCCAGCCAGGGAGATGGGCTGTGGGCAGTTTTCAGGCCGGCCCTGCCCCAGATCAGGGTAAGGGGCCTTGCTGGGGGATGGGGCCAGCTGGGGCAAGGGGCCATGGTTGTTCTGCTGTTTTGATCGCTGGGCTTTTATTATATAGTGTATTAGGGTATTAGGGGAGCATGGTGGAGAAAAGCAGTCCACACATGCACATAATCAGGGTACAGAAACAGAGTAAACTCCTAATCAAATAACAAAAAAGAGAACTAATTTCCCATCCCAAATTTTGAATGCATTATTATGAATGAATTACAAATGATCTTTCTATAGCTTTTTTCTAATTTGCATTGCTTCAGAAAACAAATGAAAAAGGAAAATGATCTCCTATTTCACTTATGATGAGGCTTCATTATAACTGGAACAATAATATGGGCTTCCAAATGTCTTAATTATGAAATTATATTCTTAAAATATTAATATTTGAACTTTCATACATACTCATCTATATGAGATGGTTTTTCTATTTAAATGTTTTAAAATATAGTCTCTTCATATTAAAAAGTAACTTCATAGCTTTCAAAATAATCCAAATTTTCATGCATAATTAATGTTTACTTTGAGCAAATACTAAGGTTATTTAGATTTATGTTTGCATAAACCTCAACTTATATCTTCTTGTAAATGTAGGGTAATGTACAATGTTTCATGTCAAAGTGATCCTTGACATCCCTCATATTGAAATTTTTATTTCTCAATTCCTTGGGCAATTTATTGTCATTAGCATTGAAAATGGAAAATAGACTGTATTTTATGTTTTGATCATAAATGGTGGTAAATTTAAAGCCTATCCATAAGCATTTAATATTCTGATATTAAATTGAACCTTTCTGCATCATTAGCCAACAAAATTAATGAAATATAAAATATCAAAAAGATATTGGAGGAGTACATATTAACATCTAATCCTTTGTGCTCATCTAATTATCTCTACATCTTAGGAAATATCTTTTATTTTGTATGCTATTGATAACATTTTTATACATATTTTTATATCCTATATTGTTTCAGAATAAATTTAAGGCAGCTTGGGGTTATATACAGAAAATATATATTTGAAGTAAGTAAAATTAAAAATAATAAAACAAATAAAGGAAGATAAGTAAAATGTAGACAAAAATAAGGCTTATACAAATGCAAAGTCCTTTACATTTGCTATTGAAAGCTGTAATCTGGCAAAGTGAAAGTTTGATTGCTTACATAAACTATAATCTCAATAAGTCAGAATCCAACAATTGTTCAAGAGAATCACAACCATTTATAACTTAAAGTATTTGATTTTTCTTTGGAATGGATTATTTTTCCAGATAAAAATGGGAATATAAACTTTCCCATTATAGAAGTTCTTTGTTTAAAAGTCCAATACAAATATTTTGCATGGCAAGTGTCAATGTAGAAAGTACTTTTAACTCTATTTCATAAATAACTTCTCCAAATTTAGGCAGCCATAATTTCTCATGTTTATGGTAGGAAAAGCATAGATTTTTCTCATTCATTTGTACCAAAAATACCTAGAATAAAAATGGTCCTAAAACTTCCAGATATTTTGTCTGGATTGACAGATCTATGTTAACTAAACAAATATTTTCAAATTTTGTTAGAAATGATATCAATTTTTATCTAAGCAACCAGAAATAAGTTTTTAATGAATGTTATAGTAAAGTTTCTTATTCATTGTCAGTACAATGCAAGGAATATTTCGACTACCTATCCAAATTTAAGAGAATTGGGGGAGAGGAGCATGTAAAAAAATGAGGGACGGGCTGGGGTTTAAAAATGTATTTAATGTTGCAATGTAGAACGACCCTTTCACCCCGAGAGAATAAAAAAAATTATGATACCATTATTTATTTGGAAGCCTTTAGCATCGAGTTTTTGTTCTGTTGTTGTATCCCCAAACAAGGGGAAAAGAAAAAAAGAAAAAAAGAAAAAAGACACTAAGAAAGGGGGGGAAA